TTAAATGAGTTGTGAAAAACTTTTTTTTTTTTTTTTTTTTTTTTTTAGGAGATATCAATCAGCAATGATGCTGCAGCATCCCGCTGTGCCCCACACCGGGCGGGTGGGAGGGAAGGGGGGGACACACGGGATGCAGCCCTTTTGCCAAAGAGCCCTGCTGAAAGCCCGGCAAGCAAAGTGCTCCCGGCACTGGAAATTGTGGAAATTGGATCGTACTGGACCGCCGGCCCCGCAGGAGGGGGTATTTCCATTTCATCAGCAGCCAGTGACATCCCGCACACGGCAGATGGTTCAGGCACCCTCTGCCATCTGGTGCAAGCTCTGGTCATCGGGAATCCGTAAGGGACACGTGAGGTCCCCGGCTTAACCCCGTACCCTGCTCTTTTGTCCCTCTGCCTGCAAAACTTTCCAGCCACCCGCTCTTTCACCACCTGTATTCGGTCTTTCAGGGCGCGATGAATTGTTTCAGCAGCACCCCGTGCTAGACAGGGCAGCATCCTTTTCTCTAGGGTACCACCTGCACGCAGGATAAAAGGGGAGGCTATAAACCGCCATGCTGCAGTTTAGGTACCAGCGGTCTAGTTTTCAGCTGTGAAAGCCATCGCTGCTCTTACAGCATCCTCGAATACAGCTCTTTTGCCTATAGATTACCGTAAGTATAGGCACGGTTAAAACCAATAGGAGACGGAGCAGCTGCAAGCCTGGTGTTCAGGCATTAGCCACAAGGCAGCATTTATCAGCAAAAAAAAAGCCCCAAAACCCCATGATAGGAAACATTTGTGTTTCCTGCCTGTGACCCAATTCCATGCACTGCAATTTCATCAGCCTGCTCTTGATAAAAAAGCGATCTCGCAGGCTTGCACCAGGCTGCTCTCTCGAGAAAATGTTTCCCTCTTACGAGTGTGAAATGAAATTAGGGTTGGAGTGCCCCGTGTTTGTCTAAAAGGAGGAGCAGGCAGTCACGCCAGAGCTGCCTCCGACTTAAATATGCTTTTATTAATTTAAATGAAAAAAGGATGTGTTGTCGGCACAGCTCCTACGTTGTCAAATCACCGCTGGTGAACGTCAGAAAGCGTAAGGAAAAGGGTATTTGAATGATCTGCTTCGCTGCATCGGAATAGGGGGGAAATCTTCGCCGTGTTTAGCGGTCTTTTATTTCTATGAGCTGTAAAAATATATATAAAAATCTCAATCACATACCCTGAGGCTTTTCAGAATTTCATTTGAAGGATGAATAGGTTTCGGGAAGGCGTTTCACTCCAAGACATCCCTGTTTCAATCCCCCCCCATGGTACTGTATGAATTAAACTCTGCAGAAGTGTATTTTAACCAGCATACCATTAGACTAGACTAAGCTTT